AGTCCCGCCCTCGAGCATATCTCTGAGCATCTGCGCTTGCACAGTGCTCATCGCATGCAAAGCGGAGGCCGCCCGTCCCGCCGCTCTACAGGAACGCGCCGCCATGGCAGACGAGAACCTACAGGCTTTGGATGGGTGCCTAGGAGGACCACGGAGGAGGCGCTCCGTGGACACAGCTGTATCGCAACAGAACGCTCCAGCGGGGCATCCCAGTGCACCCACGGGCGGCCCCCCATCGAGGGGGAAAGGCGGGGGAGAGATCGCGCTCTCGAGTGGACAGAGGAGTCCCCCAAGAGCGCGATAACTCCGCATGCAGCTCGGGGAAAAAAAGGCAATGGAGTTGGCCGTGGCCTCGCGGCGGCAGCTTTGTCCAAAAACCAATTATCCCTCCGTGAGAGATCGGGGGAGAATGGAGGATGCCACTCTAACCCAATACTCCCAGCGGCTTGAGACAGCATGCCGTCAGCTCGGGATCCGACACGGGCAGCGCTGGCTCTCCCGAAGGGGGCAGTGCAGCCGCATCCTCATCTCCCGAGGACTGTAGCCCGCCTAGTGATGCTGCGATCGACATCACATCATCATCTGGAGCGCTGCTCGAAGCAGCCGGTACCACTGAAGAGGCAGCCGACTGAATCGAACTAACGCTCGCTGGCTCACGCACTGAGGCGGGAGGTGTGGCCCGAGAAATCGTCGGGGCTTTATGCCACACCGTCACCGTTAATTCGCCGGGTCCCCGGTCGACGGGCCCCCTTTCGTGAAGGAAGCCGATCGAGTAAGGGGGACCGGGGCTCTCACTCTAGTGAGATTTTTTTTTTTTTTTTTTTTTTTTTATATATAAAATATATATTTTATATATAAAATATATACATATATACACATCTTTTTATATATATATATATATATATATATTTTAACCTCAGTGTGGAGATGGTCATGTCCCCATAGCAGGAACATGAGTCATCCACGAACGCTGCTGCTGCATGCTGAATGCCCAGGCATACAGAGCAGCGATCGCGACCATCAGATGACGACAGAAATCGACCGCATCCAGAAGAACACGGGCGAACCGTCTTTAAAAAGACGTGCCGCGTGTAGCTCTTTTACAGAGAGGAGGAAATTCACTCTTTCAGCGCTGAGGCGACCAGGGAGAAGCGCAAAGTCTGGCAGACCACTGCACAGATCGCAGGCAATGCAGAAACTCGCTGGGTACCGCCGTCACACCAACACTGAAGAGGACGCTCGTCTCGAAGAGTCTTGTAATAGCTTTCAGGAGTGAAGAGGTTCTCTTGGCTCCGAAGCGAAAACATACTGCGGTTGCGTTCACTTCCTCCTTTTATACTCACGGAGTAGGGCGGAGTACGCTATGCAAATTTCCGCAGCCCCAAGGCATTGCATGCCATTGGCTCGTGTTTAAATACTCGAAGAGGATTGGCTTTCTATGCGAAACCCCCAATCTCCGTCACTTCTGACGTAACTCGAAGTGACTACGAAAGGGAACAAGTACTTCAGTACTTTTACTTAAGTAGCCATCTGACTGTAGTACTTTTACTTGTACTTGTACTAAAATTTAGCAAGGGTTATCTGTACTTTTACTCAAGTAATAAAGCTCTGTACTCTGTCCGCCTCTGATTGCAAGTCGATGAGATTAATCAATGTAACTCCACAACAACTAGCCTACATCCATGTAACCATTCAGAAATGTCCAGGTGCTGTCTAAAAATTACAATCTTTTCCTGAGTCTCTCTGTAATGCTACGTTCACACCGGACGCGAATAGGGCGTCAGGCGCGAATGATTTCAATGTTAAGTCAATGCAAAGACGCTTTACGCGCGTGAAAAATTCCTGCGGCGCGAATGAGGCGTGGAGCGCGGCGCGGAAGACGCGAATACGCCTCATTCGCGCGTCAAGTTGGCGCGAATGGCGCGAATTGAGCGTTGTGCATTCACGCGTTTGACGCGAATTCGCATCTGCCGCCCGAGTTGAAAAATCTGAACTTTGGCGTGAATTCGCGCCGCGTTAACCAATCAGGAGCCTAGCTGCTTGCTCACGTGGTGAAGTGTCTGGATGCTTCAATAAATTATTTTGTTAATATGACTAAATGCATGGTGGGATTATGCACAACAAAGCAAATGTTTCATCACTTAAAACATTATTTCTATATACAGTAGGAGACATGTTCATTTTGTATTGAATGTTATTCATTCCATATCTAGAAATAGTATTCTGTTGTAAAGACAATCAACATATGTGCATAAATTCATGTCTGGACGTGAGAAAGAGAAAAAAATCACAGGACAGGTTAATAACTTTTGAAGGCTGGCTCTATTTTTCATCAAAACAAAAATGACAGCTAGATTAGATGGATGAGGGCGAGGGTGATCCTCGCTCAGATGCGGGACAACAGGTCATCAAACTGGTCGCGTGACAGGCGGAAGTACCGCTGACAGCGGCCGTCATCCAGCGCAGCTCCTGGAGCGAGCAAATGGTGAAACTCGCCAAACGGTTCGGCTCCGAAGGGTCCGGTGGACACAAATATACGGCGACGATGATCCCCACGCCGCTGTTCTGCTCTCCAGAGTAAATACAGAGCGGTAACTCTCTTGATGAATGCTCGGTCGACATAAAAACAATGGCCGCCAACGGATTTTGATTCTGACGCGCGTCACGCGCGTAAATTTCGCTTCAAACTTTTACGCGCGCCAGTTTCGCTCTTGACACGCGAATTAACACTAGTGGTCAAGCGTCAAACTAGACGCGTCAGGCGCGAATTTGACGCGCGATTCGCGTCCGGTGTGAACGTAGCATTAGGCTGCACTCAACTACAAGTTCGGCAGCTCATTTGATTTTGGTCACACCCAAAAAGGGGCAACTTTGACAAGCTATAATAAATGATATGGGGCATATTTTGAGCTGAAATTTCACAGACACATTTTAGGGACACCATAGATTTATATCTTTACATCTTGTGAAAAGGGGCATAATATGTCACCCTAAGGGAATTTTAATAAAACCAGCCTATGGTTTTCATTTGCTGCCTGTGAACAGCGTCTACTCTGACCAGCCCTCAACATTGTACACTCTCAGAAAAAAAGGTACAAAAGCTGTCACTTGGGCTGTACCTTTTCAAAAGTTAAACTTTTGTCCATTTTAGGTGCTGATATGTACATTTTAAGTGTTAATATGTACATTGTAGGTGCTGATATGTACATTTTAGGTGCTAATATGTACATTTTAGGTGCTACGTACATTTTAGGTGATAATATGTCCATTTCAGGAGCTAATATGTACACTTTAGGTGCTAATATGTACATTCAGATACTAATATGTACATTTTAAGTGCTAAGTACATTTTAGGTGATAATATGTCCATTTCAGGAGCTAATATGTACATTTTAGGTGCTAATATGTACACTTAGGTGATAATATGTACATTTTAGGTACTAATATGTACATTTTAGGTGCTAATATGTCCATTTCAGGAGCTAATATGTCCATTTTAGGTCTTAATATGTACATTTTAGTGGTACCAATATGCAGCCTTTTGGTACAAAAGTGTACCTTTTGAAAAGGTACAGCCCCAGTGACAGCTTTTGTACCCTTTTTTCTGAGAGTGTAGTTGTAGCTGAGGCCTCAGGCCTGGAAGAGTTCAGTCCATGTTGTTGACATGTCAAGAAGATACTGCGAAGTGTGAAAGCACTTTGCATGCACTTCAAAAGGATGATGACTCGTGCTGGAATTGATACAGAGAACCCAACGCCATCTTTACTATTCACATCATTGTGTATTAAGTGGTGAACTTAAATTCAGATATGGTAATAGACGTTTAGTTTCTGATATACACTAGTCAAATAACATGCAATGGATGCAAACTATTATAGGAGACTTCCAAAATAAAATTAGGAATCCTTAAAATAGCACTATGGGGCACTTTAATTCGTCAGAAAATATTACTAATGTCTTTATAAATACAGTTAGGGTTAGGTTAGATATATCGGTATATGACTTATCTGATTGGTGGATTGAAAGTGCTGAAGTACTTTAAAATAATTTCACGTTTGGTCTGTTCACACAAAGTTATCAAATAACTTGAGAGTGGGAACAAACTAAGGGAATGAAAATTAAGATTTTTTTTTCTTTTTTGAGTGAAAAAGCATTTAACAACCCCAGAGCACGAAAGTTTTCCACATTAATAATTAAGTCCGTTTCACTATGAAGATTTTGAATGGCATTTTTACTTCCAGAATCCTGCTGTTGAGTTCCATAATGCATATCATTTAAGGTTCAACATGGACATATTTTTTACTAATTATAACATTGTGTTTTGACCTCTGACCTGTCTTAATGATGCAGCACTCTTGTAGCTACCCATTAAAAATAATTTGACATTTTTAAATGATAAATCTCCTGGCTTGCTGGTCAAAGCATTTCCATGACTCGGGGTGCAGAGATGATGTCATTTGTGATGAGTGTTTGCTGTCCTCTCCTCCACCGACTCTTGCACTCCAGAAAAAAAAAATCTAATCCATTTATCTCTCTGTGTTCCTGCTGGCAACAGTCTCAATGCCCGTTACAGCACTGTCCTTGCCAGCCTACCACTTAGTGATGGGTATCTGTAATGCGTGGGCCTTGAAGATCTGGGTCTGAAGACACTTAAGTTAAATGTCCAGTAGTTTTAATCAGGGTCTTTAGAGACACTGGCTGACTGTGTCTGTTTGACCAAAGCTTGTGGCTATACATACATATTTACATACACTATATGACATGCTTCTTACTAAACACAGAAATGGCCTAAAAAATCAGTTTAAAATAAGGATGCACAATGTATTGGTGGTCATAGCCATGTGCTTATTTAAACTTATTTAAACAGATAATGAATAATCATAATCTCTTTCTATATCCAATAAAAAAAAACTGTTAAAAATGCATTTTTCAAATACATTAAAAACAATATTGCTACATAAGTCTTAGTGAATGACAGAACTAAAGGGATCCAGCCTAACCTGTGAAGGTGCGCCAACATGCCGATTGTATCGCCTCCTGGCACGTCCTGTGAGATGTTGGCCGGTGGAGGTGTGACTGAGGCCGGAGGAAACGTCCCTTCTGTGCTTGAAGACGCGTTTGAAGAGTGACCACATACTTTATCCACCTGAAAAACAGAGAGACAGATAGAGGAACAGAGATAAGAAAGTGGTGATATTCTGTTCCTTCGGGAAGAAAGAGCATATGATGTAAGCGTGTGTTTGTCTTTGTGATAAATGAAACTCTAATGGAAAACCAGACGGTAACAGATCACATTTAAGCCATGAATGAATGAATCAGACAGAAAGACAGAAATACAGTGTGTGTGTGTGTGTCTGGCTCTGGTTTTGTCTATTATGGGGATCAAATATCCTCATAAGCTCAGTAAAACCTGAAATCAGTTACATGCTGGGAAGCAGCCAACGGTCTCCAAGAGGAAAACAGCTTAATAAACTAAATAAATAACATCTTAATAAAAATCTAAAAATGCAGAAAACATTGTGAGAGGGTTGTGTGTAGGGTTAGGGGACAGAAAATATAATTAGCTCGGTATAATAACAATAAAAGTCAATGGAAAGTCCCCACCATGGTGAAAAACAAATGTGTGTGTGTGCGTGTGTTCATCTCATTAGAGACTATTGCTGCAACACAGAATCTCAATCTGCATTTGCTTTTATATCTACACCTTCACCTCTGTCTCTTGCTCGTTTCTTACACACACATTTAATCAATGGCGTTTCATCCCACTAAAAGCACCAGCAGACGTCACCAGTCCATTAGTCAAAGAAGACCCGACTACAGCAATCTAAATGATTACCCTCAGTTTCTGCCCTCTCCTATCAGTCACTTTTAATAATGACAATTTTATTTGCCATTAATAAATCTTTATCTCCTGAATCATTTGTCATTGCACTGAGAGGTTGGAGGACAGAAAAGGTCTTTGCTCTGTCAATCGTTTTACAACATGAATGAATAACAAGATACAATGACAAAGTCAAAGATTTTTTTTTATATATATATATAAAAAACACCTAATTTGAATTAGAAATCGGACTACCAAAAAACTTCTTTCTAATGACTGAAAACGGCAAAAATTACATTCTTAGTGTCTTTAAATCAATCAGTTCACTGCAAGTTAGTAAGTTAGTGCACACACGCTCAATAATAATAATAATAATAATATATAAGAATCAGATGTCTTTTTGGACACTGCAAGGTAATGGAACATTTAAGATATCTGATATCAAAACATTTAACATACTTAAGACCTTGAGCAAACATGATTAAACTCTGACTTGTGTTAAATATCAGTTTTAATTATTAATAATAATAAACCGAACTGATGTTTTCCTTTTACTTTTAGAAGTATTTGAGTCTGAAGGGAATGAGGCATTATGGGTATCAGCCAAAAATGTGGGAGTGCTGGGAAAATATTTGTGTGTTGATATTGTTGTATTCTGTGTAGTTTATTGATTTACCCTCCATTGTAAATATTTTTTCCTCCTTTTTGACGAACAGCATGGGAACCGTCGTTTCCCCGTAAATAAACCCAGCGGTGGATTTTGGGCCGAGATCTCAAATATACAACGGTTATTCTTGAACCATCATGCATTTTATCAAGTTGCATGATTTATGCATACTAGTCACAGTTATATTGAATTCAAATTAGAAATCAGCTGCAGTTCTGATAAAGCATATGCTGTATACTTGTTTTATAGAGTGAGTAAATAAACTTCTTTTAATATCCTGACAATCTCAGATTCAGTTACAACAGAGTTTCTTCATGCATGGATGGAATTTCTCTTTATCCGGATGAAGTTTCATGACGTCCAGTGTCAAACTACTTTCTGTCCAGATAGTCTGGGAATTTTTCCTTGTGAATCTTGCCTAATTTTATGTTAAAAAAATACAAATAAATAATAAATATTCTCTTCAAATCATGACAGACTTTCTATTGGTAAAACCAAACTGTATTTGGCCCAGAATGAACCCAACGTCACTCTCCTGATCCCCCACTCCTTGGAATCTCTTACCCATGAACTTGTAACATCTGTGTCAATTCATTTGAAATGGGTTCCAAAATATTTTAACATTTGTTTATTTTATCAACTTTCAGAGGTGATCAAAAATACATTTTTAGTCTAACTGTATTTTTTCTGGAAACCCTTGTTTTGTTTTGTTTTTTTTGTATGATTGTTGCACTGTAAAAAATATTTTCAAGATTTGTTATCACAACATATTTTCTTTTGTCAAATAAACTTTAAAATAATTTATTTATTTGAGATAACTTATTATTTAGAGTTTCTGATGATTCAATTAATCTCCTTTATTGTATTAACTCACTTTTTTCCAGTTCAATCAACTTAAAATTTTAAGGCAACCCAGGTTACTTACTTTTTTAAGTTAAACCAACAATATTTTTTTTACAGTGTAGTAATCACAACATTTTTTCTTTTGTCAAATCAACTTAAATAATTTATTATAATAATTTATTTAGTTTAGATAACATATAATTTTAAGTTTCTGATGATTAAATCATTCTCTTTCATTGTATTAACTCACTTTTTCCAGTTCAATGAACTTTAACTTTTTTAAGTTAAACCATCAATATTTTTTTACAGAGGATGACAGTTAACTCACCTGTCAATCTTCCAAAGAAAGGTTTTAAACTTTACCGGTTATGTGCAACTTTATTTGTTTGAACACTTTTTCATTCCACACTATAGTTTTTATTAAAAAAGTAGGAGAGAGATCTTCACCTCGACAAGTCCAACCAGAACTGGTTGAAGAAAATTCATAAACGGGGCCTATTAGTATGGTATCGCTATTATCTAGGTTGCAATTTTTTTAAAACGTTTTTCCTCAGTATCAATCTTACGATACATTAATAATGATACATTAATAAAGTCATTTACAGAATTATTTGTTCTGCTCCTTGGGAGGGACTATCTTTAAACAAGTCCTCGTCAAGTATAATGGCCTTCCACTTCCTATAACACCACATTACAGTGAAAGCCAGAGTCTTAAACAAAAAAAGAGACTTTCAACAAGATTCAAAAGCATGTGAAAATAGGCATGACACACTTGTATGTGAGAGAAAGGCAGAACTGACCTCAGCGACACCCTGATCTGTGACGTTAAGCACAATGGGCCATTCCACCGGTCAACTGTTACTCAATTACCTACTGTTGAAAGCAGGGGTTTGCTCTTGTCTGGCGAGTGTGTGTGCACCTGTCCATCTGTGAAATGCCAGTGTGTGAAACATTCTGGGTGTGATTAGATGGGGTCTGAACAGTGCTTTATCCCATGAGTCTCAGAGGAAGACACATGCGGGAGCTGTGAGCGCCTGGCCTTGAGTTACAGGCTGACTGTGTTTTTGTGGTTGGTTTGGCTGCAGTTTTACTACAGTGTGCAATGAGGAAGGCCAATTTAAGGCATGTGTTCTTTATGTACCAACCGCTCAAAAAACGAGTATCTCTTTCAGAGCACTTTCTGTTTTTAAGACAGACTTTTCCTTCAATCGTCATGTTTGTGTAAGTCTCTCTCTGACATTTACTTTAAGAAGTCGCAGAGGAAATGCGTTATGCTATAGAGAGAAACAAGCATAGAAATCTTCAGAATTTTGTCTTTGAACTTTGCTTTTGTGGTATCTCTGTATATATACTGTATCTATGGCATTGCATTAGCGGGTGAAGTGGATTTACTGATTGTAGAGTTAAATAAAGCTATCATGAGCATTGTAATGTTTGAAGCGGATGTCATAACAAATGTCCGTAGACCGAGAAGAATTTAAAACAAGCAGTTCGCTCATAAATCCGTAAAATCGTACCTTCATGCTGTGGAAATACAAACCGGAAGACAGTGCAGCGCTGAAAAGGGGCGGGGCTACATAAGGTCTATAATAGGCCATTAAAACGCCACTGATACATTCCTGTATATTTTAAAAACACATCTTATAAGAGGAAATGCAGAAATGCCGGCGCTGTTTGAATAACATCACAGTACGTCTCAGTGGTGTTGAATTAAACAGTGTTCTGAATGAGGCCCGTGGCTGTGCCAGCATGGGAGGGGAAGCCAGTCCCACTGTTTGGTTAGCGGGTTGTTTTTCATGTAGGTCTGGCTTTGAGTGTGTGTTTGAACTGTGATTCTCTGGCTGCTTTGTTTGGCTTCATTGTTGCCACGCTGATACTCACACATACACAATCAGCTGATTAATGATCTGTGTGTGTGTGATCTGTTTGTGAACTCTGCATCTCCACAAGCATTCTACCCCCGTCACAGTTTCAAACTCATGGAACTACTGACCTGATCACAGCGGGACAATTCTGAAAATCTCCAATAATGAAACCCATATTACAGGCCTGAAAGGCTTGTACCTTCCCTTTTAAAAATGCAAAAAACACAAAACAGTTGTTATAAGACAGTATAAGACAGCATTCATAGGTTGAGGTGAGGAGAGATCCAACGAGAACTCACTGAAGATCCGCAATTCATCAGCAACACCCAAAAATCTGTTCTATAATAATCTTGTCTAATTAATACTTTCTACAGTATTTTCATGCATCATCTGGATTTTATTTCACAATAATTTCAGTTACCAGCCCAGATCATTAAATACTAACCCACAACGAAAAGAGGGAGACTGAAATCAGCAGCGAGGCTCAAACTGAGGCACATCCAACATTTTATGTTTTGCTGGAAGTTCTAATTGGAAGCTGTAAGTGGAATTTACAACCACCAAACGAACAAACAACAAACACATTCACTGTAAAAAAAATATTGTTGGTTTAACTTAAAAAAGTAAGTAACCTGGTTTGCCTTAAAATTTTAAGTTGATTGAAATGGAAAAAGTGAGTTAATACAATAAAGGAGATTGATTTAATCATCAGAAACTCAAAATAATAAGTTTTCTGAACTAAATAAATTATTTAAGTTGATTTGACAAAAGAAAAAATGTTGTGATAACAAATCTTGAAAATATATTTTTTTTTTACAATGTTGTCTGTCACAATGAACGTTTCAAAGCTGTGCATGGCTCTATTCGTTTCCTATACGTTTTCGATCTCTCTCTTCACTCGGTCTCAGCCAAGTTTGTGGTCTGGACACAGGTCATCAGGCATACCAGGT